TGGTTATGATGAGCTGAAAGTAATAAATCAATATTTGAAACTACTAAAAGTCATGGGTAACTAGTCGAAATGACTGGTTTAAACCACAAATAAAAACTTGAAATAGTTAGCTGGAAGTAATGGACGAATAGTAGGAATAGCCCCAAACAGCTGATAATGAGCCAGAAATCGCTAATGGTTAAATTGTCAAAATCGAGGTAATAGCTGCATGTGAGTAAATACAAGTTAGGAAAAATGGCTTATATAATTATAAAGAAAGATCAAATCAGAAGCTGAATTTCTTTGATTGTTTGTTTTACAGAAAAAAACTGTAATCAATGTATACAAGATCTGTCAATGTGCTCACATGTGTTACCAACAGTAGGAAAAGTAATGGTGTCTCTACATGATATACATCGACTATTTCAGTGTGTCTGTTTACGTGTTCACCACCTCTACGAACTGAGTAAGTCTTGGCTTTTCAGTTGTGCAGATTTTTTGTTTTTACCAATGTGTGCTTTCTTGACAGCACCATATGGCACTCATGATACATTCATTCATCATACGTCTGGAGTTTTACTTAAGTGATATTGATCAGACTTTTATTTCCTGTCTTTACAGTCTTGTTGTGATAAATGGCTTAATGGTGTTTTCTAAAGATAACATGTCCTTCAAGCCAAAAAGTGTGTGTGTGTGTATGTGTGTGTGTGGATGAATTGAATTGAATTACTTCGCTAAGTGTTCTGGGTAAACGGCAGATATTTGCAGCTTTGCAAGTCAGAGCACTGAACATTTGGGAGCACTGGGTGGTGCTGATGGAGGGGTGCTTGAGCTCATCTGATAGGGCTGTGGAGGGCAGACAATTAAGAGGAGTTTGGCTATCATTTTTAGTAATTAAATTTTTATAGCAAAACTCCACATCATTTCATTGTTGCAGCTCCTCAGTTGTATCAATCAGTTGCTTTTCATGAAGTGTGAACTATTGCCATGAGAGGTACTAATCTAACGGTGCAATACGAGTCAGTGACAGGGTTTACGGTCCACATCTGGTACTCTTGATACGATCACTACGTCTTTTCCTAACCATCCGTCTAGACTTTTACTTAAGTTACAATTACAGTGCAGACCAGCAGCCCTGTGCATACAAATACAGTGGGGAACGTTCATAGGCAGTGTATTTGAAAATCAGCCCAGCAGATGTGTTGTTTGACTGTAGACTGACCATCACCTTTAACCTGGGAGGACACTCCACGACACAGTGTGGCATTTAAAAAAAAAAAGTATTTTCTTATCACTGGCAGCTGCCTTGGGCTTGAAATTGGATAATGCCCAATGCAGTGGCCAATAAACAAGTTTAATAAACATTTTTAATTAACTGCGCCGAGCAGAGTTCCATCATTTATTTATCATTAAGTACCTGCAATTTTTTGAATACTGCAGCTTGACACGCCCTATAGAGTGAGAGACTTGGACTCAGACTACTGCACGAGTGTAAGCAACGATAAGGGAAACTGACAAAGGTGAATAATTTCAAATTTGAATAAAAAGCAATTAGAATAGATTAGATGTTTCATTAAGCTGCCTGTTTGCAGAAAAAAAAATGGTAGCATTAGATATTTAGAGCGTATGCACAAGCACTTAAACTTCACGGTACCAAACTAACTTTTAGTCTTTGTATATTTTAACGTCTTTCTTTAACAGCTGCTTCAGGCTTCCTCCTGCCTGATTCCTCCTGTCTAATACAAGAACCCCTCCTCCAAACATCAGCACTGTGGCAAAAAGAACCTTGAATACCTATAGACCTTGAACATATCCTAAAATATATAACGCTGACTGCAGTGGTTTTAAAAGTAATGTTTTCAGAAGTGTATTGTTTAAATAAATAACATTGTTGATGCAGAAGCACTGGTATCCGCTTGTAATTTTTGATTTACTTAATTCACATATAAACACGAGTAAAACAGGTTAAAACTTGCCAATAACGTAAATGTGTTGACATCTCTGTTTACTACATTGTTATACTACACACACAAGGCACTGGGTTGTTATCAGCCGTTACCCACAAACCTCTACCAGACAAAAACAGAGATCACTGCGTTGAAGTGACAGAAAACCAACCGAAATACAGAAACAATCACGACCCAATAAAACGGTTGATACAGTGCAAAAATAAAAATGATTCAGCCTTTTAGATCAGAATGCTTTATGGGCGCTGTAGGTTCTGACCGTCAAACATTAAACAATGTCAAGCAATGTTACCGCCGAGGTTTATTTGGCCCCACCGTTTGGCAATGATGGAAAATGCTGATTGAAAAAGCTTCTGAAGGAAAACGGTTGTGAAATTACAGTACACAAGAAAATCAATACGAAAAGGGGGAGGTATAATAATCAAAAGCATTTACAAGTTCGACCAGTGTTCTCGCAGTCACACCTTCTGAGCCACAGCCTCACAGCTGCGGTGACCTTTTAAGCCGTTTATGCCTGTGCATAGATATTGGCATTAACATCCCTCCTTCTGAAATGAAAAGTGCTTGCTAAGCCAACAACTGTGCTCAGTGAACTGTGCACCTTAGAGGTGAATTATATCATGCTGGATTACCCTTACCTTAATTTATCTGTGCCAGCTTTGTATCTGGAGACTCTGGCCATCAACAAGGGCAGGCAGACGGCATCCAGCCAGCGCTTCTCATACTTTGGTTCATTAGCTGAGGGCGAAGGGGGCGACGGAGCCTGCGTGGAATACATGAACAATGCAATGAGCTTCCTGCTTCCCTCGCCAAGTCCTTTTGATCATTGAGGATGTGGCCTGGATGCAACACTTGCACGATTTACATGCACAAAGAATTCCCTTCTTAACCAGGGAAATGCAGTCCCGTGGTATGTAAACATCAAAATAATGCAGCTCAGTACGAACCCAGTGCTCCGTTTAAGAGAGGCAGAGGCTCTCACAGTGTTCACCTAAGTTCACAGACTCCAGCTGTTTTCTAACATATATTACAAATAGCAGTTTTTTTCCCCTCATGTACCTAATTATCTAATTTAATTGGGGTAAGAGCAACTTAACACTGCATTTAGCTTGAATATCTTCACCAGTTCTCCCCGCATTAAAACCCTGGGGTGGTAGAAAGAGTGTAATTTGCCCCAAACACTTTAACACTAATCAGCACTGTAAACTGTTTATAGTATTAGTACAGTGTTCTTTATACCTACGGGACTGAGGCTGGGAACCACAGCAGACAACACAGATTTTTTACTTGACTTTTTTTTGTTTGTTTTTTTCCATCTACAGGAGAGAATTACACGATTTTTCTCTCTGGAAACAAGTAAAATAGCTTCTGTTGCAATCAACACAAATAAAAATGGAACCAGGATCAATAGGACAACTGTAAAAGTAAATTACCGACTGCAGAAACTGGATTTAGCATGAACTTACTCTGAAACTGAAAGATCACTCAGCAGGGCCGAACACAATCTGGTAACAGTAAATACAGCACCTTTTTTCTCTACTTCAATGATGAGAATTAGTCGATTACTCAGGTGACAAGAAACTACCGATACATTATTTTACAGTTATTACAAATACCTTTCATTCTCATCCCATGCATCTAAAGGTATGCACTTAATACACTTGTGTTTTGCTGCTAAAGTGAAAATACTTTATCTTCAATCCTGCTATGTGGACACGATAAACATGTCGCAAATTAATTTCTCCAACTGTCACATTGGTATTTCATTTTAATTACTGTTTTATGGCATCTTTTTTTAACTATTTTTGTATGATTGTGTTATTTGTGATATTGAGTACCTGCTGTTTGTTTTATTTGTCTTAATTTATCGATAGTGATTAAACATTTTTTTAACCTCTTCTCATGAAATGATTGTGACAGTGTGATTTTGATAGATAAAGTGTGTATCTTCCCAAAATTTTATTGACATCACAATTTACATACAATACATATCAGTAAAAACTAAACCACAATTAACTTTTGCAAACTGTGTATTCCGGCTTACACTAAATTGAGGTATTGACCAATAGGATTAAGGGTTTTGTTTAAATTTTTCAACCGTGGTCAACAGGAAACACACATTTGGAAGGATTTCATGCATAAGAATGTCCAGTATTACTCTTTCAAATGTCCCTCAGTCACTAATATTGAGTATGTTCACCCCTGACATGGATCAATACATTAAGACATGGTGGCATTCTGTCCACAAGCTGGTTGATGGTGTCAATGGGCAGGACGTCCCACTATTTAGTCAGATCCCAAAGTCAGAATTTGTTTCACCTGGTAACTGGGACTCAGTGTGTGATCACTGCATCTGGTAAATAGAAACAAAAAGAGGAATGTGTCTGATAACAAAAATTATTCCAACTTTATGGGCAATGGTGTATATAGGTGTTCAGGATATACTGTACATACCAGGGATCTCCAACTCCGGTCCTCGTGAACTACTGTCCTGCAGGTTTTAGACGTTTCCGTACTGCAACACACCTGACTCATATTAATGGATCATTAACAGACTTGTGTAGAACTTGACAACAAGCTGTTGGAGATCCATTAATTTGAGTCAGGCGTGTTGCAGTACAGAAGTGTCTAAAACCTGCAGGACAGCAGCTCACGAGGACTGGAGTTGGAGATCCCTGGTATATAGTATAAGCTGTGGCACATTTGCCTGCATGGGAACAATGACATGTATGTTATTAAATCTCAGCAGGTAGTTCCACCTTAAAAATGCACCTTTGAATCCATTGGTTTGCAGAATCAGTTGATACACACATTTCCATTCTGTTGGGTTTCAGGAAACTCAACTTATCATTGATGATTGAACAACTGAGCCAAAGCATTAAGACCAAACCCATTAAACATGCAGTTGGACTTTCATGTGCTACCAAAACTGTTCCAACCAACAAAGACACCGACTCTACAAGACTTCAGAAGACGCCTTGTGGTAACTGGCACCAAGACATTAGCAGCAGTTTCTTTAAGTCCTGTAAGTTGCTGTTTGGAGTCACAGCAGATCAGACTGCTGCCTATTAATGGTTTGAACAACTTGAAGCAGGTACCTTCACAAACCTTTATTTTAGAGATGCTCTAACTCAGTCATCCAGACATAATGAGTTGGCTCTTGTCAAAATTACTCAGGTCTTTACGCCTGCACATGCAACATGTTTCCTCTGAGAACCGACTGTTCTTTTTTCATCTATTACATCCCAAACCTTGATATGTCCGATGTTACAGGCTAATCATCCGTTATGTTATTCGTTCATCTGTGACCAGTCGTAATGCTTTCACTCGTCGCCGTACGTGTCTGGGGTTGAAATGAGACAGGAAACACAGAAGGCAATGTATTTTGTTGCTTGTCCAAGTCAGACCTCGATTCAGCAACTGTTACATTTGCTCATCTTCATCCCCATATGCAAAGAGCATCTGATTATGGCAAACGCTAGCTCAAAATTGCAGCGTTTGCCTGGTTGTTGGGGCCCCAGTGAGGATGTACACAGAGTTTGTTTGTGACGGGACCAAGACCAATTACTCGAAAGTGTCTTGGTGCGGTTGTTCTGGTGTTTCCACAGGATTTCTACAGTGTCAAATGTGCTCAAGCAAATCACACTCCGAGGGAAAGCTGACCAGAGTCTGATTCTACTACACTGAGAACAAACCACACATCAAAACCCCTTATTTGCTGTTTTTTGTTGTTTATATATTTATCTGGAAATTGAATACCTCAGCAGTGCTACACTGTTGAAACGAGCAATGGGAACTGTGACAGGCATTTTTTCACGACTTACAATTTCTAAACGATTCCGATGGGAAAAAAAACTGAGAGCTTAACAGATGATCAAATTGAGCAGTGAAAGCCCTAATTCATTTAGCCACCGAGTTGGCAGGACAATCAAACAGTCCACATAGCAAGTTGGTGCAAAGCCGGCAACATCTATTCTTCAGTGTCAAAGAAAAAGCTGGAATACATTTACTTTTTTCTTATTTTTATTTTGGCTCCTTATTAGCTGTCACCAGAAAAAACAGCAAGTCTTCCCAAGGTCCCCTGGAAAAATAATAACTACAGCTGTTTGAATACCAATACGAAGAGCAATCTTTGTGAGAGAAAATATTCAAAAGAAAATATAGCTATTTCATATAGATAGCGCATTTCCACACTTCTCACACAAAGGCACATGGGAACAGAGAAAATGAACCCAAATTGGATAAAAACAGGCCACCAGAAAATGTCCTGTTGGTATTCATTAAAGACTAGCTCTAGTTCTGAAAATATCTCAAGTGTTGTGGTGTCATGAAGCAATTTTAGAGGGAAAATATACTTGCTGTTTAAATTGATAGGTTGCATTCCCATTGCCAGTGTGAGCTCATTTTAATAGATTATCTTAACAGTGAGTCTGCGGTATACAAGCTTTTTCGTGTGGCAAATGTGCAGGTGCGTTTAGACTTTTCATAGGTAGTAATGAGCATCGGGGAAAAAAGCTAAAATTGCTGCTTAAAGATGCCCCGCTCATCAAAGGTGCTAATGTGGCACGGAAACAGCTTTTTTGTTGTTGAAAGCTGTGGGTTGTGGGTGCCTGCTGATGGTGGGGACACACGTGGCAGCAAGTGAGACTTCAAATTGCTGTGCACTTCAGAACAATTCGCCGCCACTCTAATGGTCAATACTTTCTCTGTATTAGAATCCGTTCTGAATAGGAATGAGTGGGAAAACGTGTGCAATAGGTCTCTGGGTGCACCGTCTCACATTTAAACTACTCTATAGTCAAGTTTTCTTTAAAGCCTTTACATAACAAACGCAACAAAATCAAAAAAATGACGGATGATTGCTGTATACAACTCTTTACAAAGAATATAGTGTTGTCATGACGACTAAAATGTCAATTCCACTTCAAGATTCGTTAATATTTCTTCCACCTTTCTGTCCAGCACACAGAAATTCTATTACACCGTCTCATCCAGAGGGTTTTGAAGGAATAGCTGTAGCAGTCTGCAGCGAGTCTCTGGATAGTGGACTGCAGCACCTAATAACCAGTCATCCATTAAACTGGATTTCAGTTGCTCAAATTGGAGGGCTAAACTGGTGCCAGGAGCTGGTTGAAACAGCTGTTGGAAAGTTCAATCTTAAGAAACGCTTATTTTAAATGTAACCTGAGTGGAGTTTTACACATGCCTAACTTAAAATGGCTTGAATCGAACAAACTAGGTGGAGATTGTTGCTAAATATTTACACCACCTAACTGTCAGTTCCAACTGTTAGAAAGGTTCCAAGTGACACAGCTAATGTATGCATCATAGCATCAACATTTAACTGAAGGAGTAAATGAGGTTAGCACAATTGAATCCACATGTTATGAAATGAATTGTACTCTAATTCTACTCTAAAGCACGCATTTCAGTGTATTCCCATATGTGTTTGCATCCACTTTAAGTGTAGCAAAGCCTGTGAGCTACTTCGGGTATTTTCCCTTAAGTCCAATGCCACACTCGCACAGTGGGGAAGTCATCATCCTCATCAGGTTTTCCCTATGGCCTGCTCTCGGCCTTCGGGCGTGACTGCGGGCTAAAGCGTGTGTCCAGCAGCCAGTTAAAGTCCGAGCCATCCAGCATTGTCCTCCTTGCCTGTGCGCGGTCTACACCCAGTAACTTTTCAACATTTGCCCAAGTCCTATTTGGTGTTTGCTTGTCGAACAATACCTGCTTTTGCAAGGCATTGTTCTCCATGCGACA